GCGTAAACATAAAACCATGTCTGCATTTGTGAACGAAGAAATGACAAACAACAAGTGCTACTCTACACTGCGAAACACACAGCGCCTTCACGACATGGCAGCGGCGGCAACAACAATACTACAGCGAGAATAAAAGTTACACCTTCTTTCTTTGCGTGAACATTTGGGTGGCGTTATGCAAATCTTCCCACATCGTGACGTAGACATGTGGGGGTGTGTTAGAACGAGCCGTTTTAGGTAGGCGTGGCTGACTCTTAACTTTTATAAAGAATATCTCTTTGGATTTGAGACTTTAGTCTTTGCAACTTTACAGATCTTCTTTATGCACCAAGAGCTTGTAACACTCCAAAGAGAAAGGAAAACTTGAAATCGCATCATATGACCCCTTTAACAATAACAAGCACAGGACGTACTGCCTTATATTAAAACAAAAATAGTACGTGAAACAACCCATTATGCTGAACGAATGGATGATATGTGCAGCGTGATTGTGTTGAATCTCTGCTCGCAGAACGGCATCACGGAGGTGAAGGTGGAGGAGACGGCAGACGGGCACATTCTTCACCTGCAGGCGGAGGATGTGCTCATCCAGCTGGAGGAAGACGCCACACACATCAAGAAATTTGTTTCTGGATTGTTTCAGTAGCATCAGATGTCAGAGTTGAGATTATAAATGCAGGATTTTTTAAATGCTTTAAATTTGTGGGATTTTCAGTGAATTAAATCATTAATTCAGATGCCTTGGCAATGTTGTTACTTTTAACAAATCGCAGAATAAAAGATAATAGCCACACACTGGGTTATTATAGTTAACTAAAGCACAAATAAATAAACAAAAATGATAAATATAATTTTTTTTTAAATTTGCAATTAGGGCTGCACGATAAATCGCATGCGATATTTAACGCGCATCTTATCAGTAAAGCCGGTTTACCGCTGATTACAGAACCGGCTCTCTGACAAGATGCGCGTTAAATATCGCATGCGATTTATCGTGTAGCCCTAATTGCAATTAAAAATGACTGAAACTAAAATTAAAGTGAAATGGGAAATATATTAAAAAATAAATTTGAACAAAAAATACAACAGTACAGCATATAAAAGATACACAGGATTATTATAGTTAACCTGACCAAAAACACTAAAATAAAAAAATGCAATTTTAAAAAATGCCATTAAAAATAACAAAAACTTTAAAATTAAAAGGAAATCGAAAATATATATTAAAAAAATATTTAAATATGAATAAAAATTACAATAGTACTGTATGTCATTTAAACTAAAATAGCACTGGCCACACAGTCAAAACATACTTAGATATAGGTTAGATTATCCACTTTCAGTCATGCTTTGATTAATGAGATTTCTCACTTATCTTACATCATTTCTCATGAACACTAAAAGCTTGTTTTAAATCATCTAATGACAAATAAGGGTTATACTCTACCGATGACCTTTGACTCAGAGAAGTGCGTCTACAGAAACTGTTTTAAACTGCCTGAATGTCACTGCATTAGATAACAACGACATGAAGCTCCTACATGTAAGATAATGAAGAGCGAGCACAAGAAATCATTTAAT